TTGATGCTCTTTATTAAATCATTTTGAATAGTTTTTGAAAGGCTGCTAAAAACTAGACTTATTTAAAAACACTAAATTTATTATCGTACCTTGAAAGTAAGTTTGCAAGCTTACGAAAATTGCCTTCATTAAAATTTAAATTATTAGGAAAAAAAACTTTTCTTGATTCCACATTTCGTGAGAATATTTTAAAACATAATAAAGTCGTGGACGAAAATAGACATTGTAAAGCACTTTATTGATATGATTATTTACTTATATACACAAGAACAAGATTTAAGGACAATAATGAATCAGATAATTCCATTAATGATGAATATGTATGCTAATTCGATCGCTCTTCTTTTTTTTTAAGGATTCATTAATATGTTTCTGATCTGAATATCCTTGATAGTTTCGAGGTGTTTTACTTTTTTCATTACATAGTAAGCAATTCTAGCAATATAATTTGGTTTTGGTTTCACTGCCTGTTAACCACTCATATTTATTGTACCAATTTTTACTAAAATGATCCGTTACTTCCATAATTGTTTTTACTTGTTAAATTTTTCATGTCAGGCGTAGGTTTTAATTTTGAAATAAATAATTTATCATCGAAAGTCAACGTAAAAAATTTTTTATTTAATAAAAAATTTAACAATACATTAACATCGCTACTCACCAATTTGTGAATTTCACTTGCCATTTTACTTTACTCCAAACTATTGGTGCGTAAGGCAATTTATGTATACTCGTATTATAATTTATTAAAAATCTTATTGAAATTCAAAAAATATATTAAATGAAACAAACGTTTTTTTTTATGTCACAGTTTCTTTATTATTTGAAGAAAAAATAAATATTGGATTTAAAAGTCCTAAAAGTTTACATCACGAAAATATTCGAATCTATAAAACATTGATTTCTCCGCAATCATTCTTAATTCAGTATAACAGCAACGAGTTAAAAAAAACTTAATAATTATAATTGTCATTATCACAGAATATTCAACATAGGACCGTAGATATTTATTTTTTAACTCGATTTTACACATTATTATAAAACGGTTTATTATTTCCTTTATTAAAATTTGTTTTCTGGAATACCTTTTCAGGGAAAAATTGTTCTAATGTTTAAAAATTCATTTAAAGAACAAAATTACAGCAAATAAATATACATGTGTACTTCCAATCGCTGGCGAAAAGCCTTAGTTGGCCTTAGCCGATACAGCAGTGGACGGGCATATGCTATTTATTCGAATAAAAAAATTAATAACATTAGTTATTTGATTTTTCAGTGAATTTATTTGAGTAAATTCTAAAAAGTACCTCCATTTCCACGAACACAGGTGTGACATCTTTTTAGTAACGAAAATTTAATTTGTTGGAAATTTATTGTTGCTTGAATCTGATGAAAAGCATTATTTATTAGGTATTTCTTGTGCTCAGAATGTCAAAGTTGGTATCACAGCATCCTATGTGATTTTAATCCGTATTTTATTCAAATATCAAAGTGTGTTTTCAGTTGGTTTTTTAAGTTTTACTCGAAAATGAGGCTTTTTTCGAAAAACAAGAGAGTAGTAATTTGTAGAAAACTGAAAAACGAATCCGAAAATACCATGATTATTACCGGAAAGCAGTGGAGTACTATTTTATTTAGAAAAATATGCATCTAAATTTTTGCACAATACGAAGGGGGACCCAGAAATAACCGAAATTTCATTGTAGAAAGCATTTACTTACTATTTTTTTCAAATACAACCTTAATCTCCTTCAAAGTACTCTCCATTAGCATTAATGCACTTGTCCAAATGTTCATTCCAGTGTTGGAAGCACCTTTTAAATTCGTCCTCTTTGATACCTGCTAGTACCTTCATGACATTGAGTTTTACGTGTTCGACATTGGCAAAACGCTTCCCTTTCAAGTCCCTTTTAATCCTGGGGAAGAGGAAAAAGTCCGAGGGTGCTAAATCTGGCGAACAGGACGTGTGGGTCGAGGTAGCTGTCTTCGTTGAGGCCAAAAACTGGCGAACACTGAGGGCCGTATGCGCGGGAGTGTTGACGTGATTCAGGAGCCACTCGCCAGAATTCCACAAAGCCGGACGTTTTCGCGCCAAAGCTCTGTGCAACCTTTTCATAACCTCCAAATAGAATTCTTGGTTTACTGTCTGGTTTTGAGGAACAAATTCTGAGTGTACGATCCCTTTGATGTCAAAAAAACAGATCAACATCGACTTCACATTCGATTTTACCTGACGAGTTTCTTTTGCATGAGATGAGCCAGTTGACTTCCATTGAGTTGACTGTTGTTTACTTTCTGGGTCGTACCCATAGCACCATGATTCGTCACCTGTGGTGAAAAAATTTGGATCGTCTTTGAATGCATCTTTCATTTCATGACAAGCTTGAACGCGACGATCCCTTTGATCTCCGGTGAGAAGTCTCGGCACGAACTTTGCTGCTAATCTTTGCATCCCCAAATCAACATTAAAAATTCGCTGAATTGAATTCCAGGAAAACCCGGATAAGTCCTCGAGTTGGTCGATTGTCCTACGTGTCCATTTTTCTCTTTCTAAACCACAAAAACCATTCGTACACTTGAGTTTCCAGCCATTTTTTCATGTCACGTCTGCATTGCACACATACACACAGAGCTGCCAGAGGAACCACACTAGTCACTGTCGGGTGACGCCGCTTAGCGGAATGACTCAGGAGAGGTCCCGCAACTGCCCTCTGGCGGCGCAACCTGGTACTATAAGTACACGGGGCGCAGCATTACAATTCCGGTTATTTTTGGGTCCCCCCTCGTATTTACATAAATACATGAGCCCCATTTCAAATTATTTCACTTACTAGTTTTTAAATCATTTTTAAAAAATTTAAAATATTTTTTTAAGTTTAACATTCTGTATCTTTTTAATGAGGCGTCCTAGATAAAAACTTTATATGAAAGACTTAAATTATTAAATTATTCACCAAATAATACAAGATTTCATTTTTGGTCGCCATTTGTGAATCACCCTGTATATTAAAGCTGTAGGTGGTTTTCGCTTCCAAAACAGCCTTGAAAATATGGCATTTCGCATACACTGACTGAATTAAATACGAAACATTAAATGAAGTTTGTCACGGTAAATTGAAAATAAAATGGCAGCGGTTGCCTTAAAAAAAAATGTTCTTTTCGTTCTAGCTATAATAACGATATCAGAAAATGAAATAGAGAATTGAAAAATGTGTCTAAAATCTGTCTATGTTATTTCAATCGTCTCTTAGTGGCACAACTTTTCTCTAATTCGGTTCACCCTGTACCTTTCACTGTTTGCGATATTCCCAGGATAGACATCTTTACCTCGGACACAGTATACAGGGTGATTCATTAACAATGGGAAAATTGAAAGCTGGAGATACTACACGTTAAATGGTGACATTGGCGCAAACATGCCTTATCTGAAAGCTGATAGTTTCGGAAATACAGGGTGTTGAAAGTTAAAATTTTAAATCTTTTTTTTTTGCAATTATTCTGAAAATATATAGGTTAGAAAACTTGTGAAACTATATTTTTTTAGGCAATGAATAAGATGCGTGTTGTAATTTCAGCATTGCTCGTAGAGGGCGCCACTTACGACCAATTGTACCGAAAATTTAGTTAATAACTTTTTACCCTGTACGTCTAACATGAAACGTGAATCAAAACCTGAAAGAGCAATCATTTTTCCATTAATTGTGTATTCTTGTTTCATTTTGGTATCTCGATTCGTTTTTGAGAAAAATCGATTTATTTTGATAATACGAGAAATTAAAAGCGAAACAAACCAAGTGTTTCTTCATGTTATTACAACAATTAACAATAATATAAATGAAATTCGTAATAATGATTTAAAGTCAGTGTTCGAAGAATCCACAACACACTGTACACAACGTTTTCTGAGATATCTTCGAGTTTGAAATAACATTGGGATTGTGTTTGACTTCGTTGGCAGCTATTTGTATTCTTTGCCACAACTCTTCACACGAACCAATAAATTCTTCCAAATAGAAAAGTGAAGAGGATTGAAGTCCGGACTTCTGGGTGGCCAAGTAAAAATGCTTCCACGGCTTGAAGAAGTTCCACTTTATTTAAGAAGAGACATGTGGTTTGTGTACGACAGAACTCCACCACATTTTTCTCGGCCAGTGCGTGCATATTTAGATGCAGTTTTTCCAAATCGCTGGATTGGCCATGTAAGCATTTTTGCTTGGCCATCCAGAAGTCCGGACTTCAATCCTCTTGATTTTTCNTTGCTGGTTATCACCAACCATGTTCTCGTTAAGTCGACATCTTCGGGGCGTCGGACTGCAAAACCTTCTCAAGAATTTTGTCGGACAATAAGATACTTTCATTTCAAATCTTATTACCAAACCCTCCCAGAAAAATCAGCTTGCTGGTTGTCACCAACCATAATGTCACCAAATCGACATATTTGGGGTGGGGGACAAACTCAAAATACCAACATTTTTGTCAGACAAATTTTTTGGGGGGTTTTAAAAAAATGTATCTTTCATTTAAACTTAAAAAAAGTGCTGGTCATAACATTCCATGTTTATGCCAGATTGACATGTTTTCCTGAAAATCACGGGAAAACTTATCACTGTTGAATTTTCCTCGTAGTCAAATCTTGGAAGACTCGTCAAACTTAAGCTGCACGCAAAGTTACAGGTAATCATTTTTTTCTTTGTACGTGGGCTCGTGGACTAAAATGTATTGTGGAGTTCAGTTACAGCATCCTAAGGAGTAATAGTATTAAACAGATGATGTAATAATTAAATTGAAAATTAATCTATGTGAAACCAAACTTAAGAGCACATACCTTTTTGAAATTTATATTTTACGTAGTACAGATAGATCAGGACAAATGAAAATTTGTACTTTTAAGAGAGAAGTCAACAATTTTGATTTTTTTTCAGTATGTTTAACTATAGAGATAATTTCCACTATTATCTAATTACACTTTTAAGCTCTAAAAACTTGTGTGATGCTTTTAGCGTTTTCATCAAAATTGGGTTACGAAGAGCACATCCCCGGCCAGACAAGGGACTGGAACGAGGAGTTACAAACCACAAGGGAGCTACCGAGAAAAACCTTACCGGAACGTTTATTACGTGAAAGGGCTATTTTCAAAGTCCACAGTGATTTTGTAGCTGCTGCGACAAGAGGCGCTATGGCTGTGATAGACGGCAATGTTATGGCTATAAATCCTGGAGAGGAGGCTAAGATGCAGATGTTCATTTGGAATAATATTTTCTTCTCCCTTGGTTTTGATGTTCGCGATCACTACAAGGAACTGGGAGGCGATGCTGCGGCTTTTGTCGCCCCGGTAAGTAGTCAAACCGTGTGGTTTTTGACGTAATAGATATGTATTTGCAAATGTAAAATGTAAAGTCGCCAAAAAAAAAAAACGGGTTTGTAATTGTTTTTGTAAATATATAACATCTGTTGCCGATTGTTTGTAATGGACAAAATTTTGAAGACTTAAAAAATTTTCAAAAGTTACATAAATGCGCAATACTGCTATTGAAATAAGTCATACACTGCATCCAAGATAAAGATGTCCATCATGAAGACAATGAAAATTATACAGGGTGTCTCAAATTGAAAATAAAAAAATGGCTCAGGGTACTATTAAAATGAAACAGGTTTATTTTTTAATTTTTGAAATATTTTGAGAACACTGAAAATTTAAGTTTTCTATTTATTTTTTTCTGATGTTTCACATCTAGAGCAAAAAAGCTTCTATACAACAACTTTTATGCTTTTTCTTATGTAAATGTCAGATTTTAACGTCCAATGTTTTACCAGCATTTTTTAAATTAATTTTAACTACTTCATTTAAAAAAGATAAGTAAAATTTAACCAGCTTGATCAAAAAGTAATGAGAATTGTTCATTTTCTCAAACAGTATTTAATTAATCTTCAATTTTTATCCCACTCCCTTTCAAAGTAGTCCCCCTGTTGTCGGTGGCGGCTCGTGGTTTTTTGAGATGGGTGGGCAAAATATTTTTTCTCATGTAACTTAAGGGGTTATACGCAGTTGCAAGGCCAAAAAAAAACCGTTTTTTTATTAATTTTTTCTGAAAAGGTATTTTATTTTACAAAAACAAAAAGTATTGGTACATTTAGTGGCAACATCTAAGTTTATAATGGCACTAATGATTTGTAAGAATATTGATTTGGTGTGCTCCTGCAGACGATCTCCTGAAGGTCCTCTAAAAAAAGGTGTTCGGCGGTCACCACGATTTCTCCGGTTTAGTTCATCTGAAATCAAAAAACCGAAAAGATTCTTTTAGTGGATAGATAAAGCTAGGTATTGATCGAAGGAATAATCAAAATTTTGATTTTTGACAAAATGGTGGCTTCGTAAAAAAAAATTCAAATTTTCAAGCAAAATTGACACTTAAAATTGTTTAAAAAAATAGAAATAATTTTCCAAAATCTTATTCCTTTGATTAATACCCGGGGAATATATTTGACAAGGTTGTGTTAAAATTTCAGACCGATCGGTTGAGCCGTTTTTTAGAAATCTTGATCACCAATTTGGAAAACATAGTTTTGAGAAAAACGCATTCAAAGTTTTGGTTATAACATTTTTTTTTTTTAACTTACATGGAGTCATCTATTCCAGGGCTGTAAGATGGACCCTCTGTAGCATCTTTTTCTTCAGCACAAGCTTTTTTGAAAAGTTTCTTGGTGGCTACTTTCATACAAGAGTGAATATTTTCAATAATCAAATCATAGGTATTTTGCATCAAGCAAGTTGGCATATCCATCAATCCACAGAATTTAGCTGCACCTTTCAATCCTATTCCAAGAATTCTCATCACAAATATAAATCGTCTGTTTATCTCATAAGAATGCTTGATAAAAGGACTGGAGTTTATGGCACGAGCCTCACACTTATCACACGGCAAAACGATTTTAAAACCAAGACCTCGTTGTGAAGCTATTTCAAATTTTATTCTTTAATAATAATAATAATAATACATTTATTGCAAAAAAGAAGTATAAACAACATTTTTACAAAAGGAAGGTGTATCAACAAAGTTGATTTACAACACCTCCTGTGTCAAAGAGAACAGATTAAAAACAAACAAATACAATAAATAAGCAATAAAAAAAGGACAAGAATGAATACAAAACACTATTGGATATAGTTAAAACCTACATACATCAAAAAGTACCAAGTCAGAAAAAAGTATATTATTTTTTAACATATGTTTAACGGTTGTCACTGACAAATTGTGATACTGGAGGGGTAAATTATTAATAACATAAGAAGCTAAATACGAAAATGAATTTTTAAATTTTTCAGTTTTATGTGAAGGAATACACGCTTTGCTACTCAGTGATCTCAAATTTTTATTATGTGTTTCAGATCTCCATTTTATTTTATCACATAAATATGTAGGTTTGTTATTTTTTAAAATATTGAGTATAAAACTGGCAAAATGAATAAGTCTCCTCTCAGACATGCTCAACAAATTGAAGGAACGTAAATATGGAGTTATGTGACTAAACTGGGGTACATTCGCAATGAAACGGACGCAACAATTCTGTATTTTTTGCAAACGGTGTTTATTTTCTTGAGAAAGGCAGGGGCCATATATAACATCAGCATAATTCAAATGAGATAAGACTAAAGATTCAGTAAGTAAAATTTTGGTCTGAGGATTTAGATACTTTTTAAAGCATTGCAACTGTTTTAATGATAGAAAAGCTTTCTTACAGATAACGGTTACATGATTCGAAAAAGTCAACGATGAATCAAAAGTCAGGCCAAGATTTTTAACAACATTGACTGCAGGAATATTTTCATTGTTAATTAAAACGGGAAAGTTATCCAGACCTCGCAATTGAGTTGATGTTCCAAATAGAATGTTTTGACTTTTATTAGCATTAACTAACAAAGTATTTTTTATGGTCCAGTCATGAATTAATTGTAAGTCATTATTAATAACTGCTGTGGCAATATTTAAATTAGAAGGCTTAAAACTATAAAGGAGTTGTAGATCGTCAGCGTACATATTTAGTTTACAATTCAAAGGAATTCTCGACAAATCTGCAGTAAACATGTTAAATAAAAGTGGTCCTAATATCGATCCCTGAGGAACACCAGAACCAACTGATCTATAAGGTGATGTTAGTATCGAGGAACCTGTATTTAATCTAGTATATTGTTCTCTACCGTGTAAGTAATTACAAAACCAGCACAATATATTGCTAGAAATACCATAATAATAAAGTTTAGCAATAAGGCAATTGATGTCAATTGAGTCAAATGCTTTAGTCATATCAAGTAAAGTTAGAGACGAAATCAGAGAATTGTCGATAGCTGTCAAAATATCATCAGTTACATTAGCCAATAAAGTTGAAGAACTAATTCCCTTCTGAAATCCTGATTGATTTATAGGAATTATTGAATTTTTAAAACAATATTTAAACAATTGATCAAAAATAACAGATTCAGCAATCTTAAGAGGAACAGAGAGCATACTAATTGGACGCAGATCTTTCAACTGTTTTGGATTTTTCTTTTTTGGTAATGGTCTAACACAAGCAACTTTCCATTGTTCCGGTAACTGACCAATCTCGAATGAAAAGTTTATTATGTGTGTAAGTGGAGCCGACACCCATTTAACCGACAACTGAAGCATTTTGCCAGAAATACCATCTGAACCAATTGTATGAGATTTTTGTTTCATAATAAGATCTTGAACTTTATTAATATCTGAAGGTGTGTATGTAAAATGTAAATTGTTCTTATATTTAGAATTATAAAGGTAAGAGATGTAATCTTGGTTAACATTTAAATTAGGTGTAGAGTCAATGAAGTAATTATTAATGAGAGTAGCATTGCAGATCTCGTCAGGAAGATTTTCATTTAGTCTATCACTTACAGCGCCCCACGATTTTAATTTTGACCATAGCTGTTTTAAGTCATTTTTAATGCTATTTATATTGTAGGCATAGAAAGCAGCACGTTCTCGCTTTACAGCAATACCGTAGTAATTACGAATGTCACAAAAAAATTTTTTATGTGCAGCATTTCTACTTTTTTTGAATCTTAACCAAGCTTTATTTTTAAGTTTTCTAATTTCCCATAAGGTATCAGTAAACCATGGCTCTCGTTTTTTAAAAGTTTTAAAAGTACGCTTCTTAAATGGAACATGTCTGTCGAAGAGGCTCGTAATAGATTCATTAAAAAATTTTACTTTACCAATCAAAGAATTAATATTATAAATTTGATTCCAATCTATACTGGCAGCATCGCGGTTAAAAGCTTCCCAATTAAAATTACGGTAGCAACGATATTCCTTTACAACAGGTTTAGGCACATTACTGGTTAGTTCAATATCACAAGATGTTACATTATGATCAGAGAAACAAATATCTAATACTTCAACGTTTTTAATACACAAATCAGAGTTCGAAATAATTAAGTCAAGTAAAGATTCAGTATCAGCAGTCACTCTAGTAGGATCAGAGACGTATTGTTTACAGTCATAACTCAATAACAAATCATTGAGGAATACAGAATCAGGCCCGTTAGTTAGCATGTTAACATTAAAGTCTCCAATAAAGACAAAATTATTAATGTTATTTTCCATAAAGTACTGTATAGCATCAGCCAAAATACAAAGATTTGAATAATGAGAATCAGGAGGCTTATAAAAAACACCCACAGCACAGGTCCGATAACCTACTCTCAACTTTACAATTAAATATTCAATATCATAAACACCATCAGTTGGAATTGTTAATACCGAATATGATTTGAATTCCGAAGATTTTATGTAAAGCGCGACACCTCCACCTCTTGTGATACGATCGGATCTTATTAAATTATAATTCGGTATATTAAATACGTCGTCATCAATATCAGCTGAAAACCAAGTCTCACTGATTCCAACAATTAAAAATGAATTTTTTAGAATGAATGATTTTATATCATTAAATTTGTTTGAAACTGATCTGGCATTAAAATGGCAAATTCCACTAAACTGAACATTGCTTAATTCTAAGGATTGATCGTGAATATAATCATTACTGTTACCTTGTACACTAAAATCACATGAATTGTTCAGGGCCGTACTTGGTTTTCTCGGTCTAAAAAAGACATCTTGTCAACTGTAAAATACTTAATTTTCTTCTTCTGATTCTCAATTTTTTTTAAATAAGCAGGACAGTTACTATCATAGATAGAGTGATTAGAGTCAATGTCCAAATTAAACTTCAGTTTTATTTCCAAACAATTTAAGCACTGAGGAAGTCTACTTGAACAGCTTTCTAACTCATGGTCCGAAGCACCGCAATTCATGC